ATCTAGGCGAAAACTTTCTTGTAGACGCACACGGATAGCGAACTCAGTTATTCAAAATCTAACGAAGCAAGGATATCATGCCTTTTTTTTGTTGAAAGTGGATAAATATGTCTACATTCAATTCTTGATGGGCATTACTCTCCTTGGATCTGACTCAAACGACCATGTGTGCATACTTCGATTCCCAAAAAGTTTGCCACGATGAACTGTGCCTTTTCCCACTTCCCGACACATTTTAGCCATGTAGAAGTTATAAGTGCACACCAGGCATACATGAGCTGTGCCTATTATATGATCCGCAACATTTCAAATGTTTATATTGATTCATGCTCTTTTTGTTTTCATATGTTTAGACATTGAATTTTTGATTTAGATAAAATCTCAATGCAATATGTTCAATATAGGTATTTAGGGCAAATGACGTGCCGAGCACGAAATCATCTTATTTTCCCCAAAGAACTCTCTAGCGTCCAACTGTCGCGAGCGCCCGAGGGACCATGGGCTGGAGTATGCCTACGCGGAAACTCAGTGGGGTCCGGGGACACCCACGTGGGCACCCACATGTCTTTTCTCTTCCAACATTTCCTTTTCTATGTACAACTTCAAATTATTATGAAAGTTCCAAATATAGAACTTGAAATTTTGAGAGCTCAAACTTTTTCTGGAAGCTGAAGTTTGCTTACATGTCCTTGCACTCGTCCCACCTACCTAGGAACGCTACTACAAAAATCACCACTACCTACAAGCCAAGTCTTAAATTCATCATTCCTAGCCAAAACAACACAAAAGCCCTAAATAGTTTGCACATATTTTCCAGTGCAAAGTTGGAAATGGCACCTACACATTTTTTCGCTAGATACATATGCATTTAATTTCCCAGATCCAGAGACCACCATTATCCTAGCTCTCTTCACACAAACCCTACACTAGAATGCCTTAGTCTCATAGGTTATGGATGGAGTCGAACTTAGCTTGCGTACACGGCTATAACCTTGACGACTATCGATGAGCTTGTTTCCCTTTGATCTTTGTTGTAGGGCACTGCACCGGCATCTCCTGCTAGCTAATGGAATACAAGTTGTACATCATTTGGAGTCCCCGCATCGCCAACAAGGTCAAAAGTTAGGATGATTGTTGCCCTTTGAAAGGCTAAACACCAAAGCTAATCTTCATCATAAGACCTGTCCACACTGCATCTATGTTGTACTTGATGTTTCGTTAAAGTGGGGAACATTTCCCCATTAGTGTCATTCCATGTGGCTAGATGATTGCAAGGACTTGAGTATCTCCAACCCACTAGGTATCAAACCCTAGATCTGATGTCATGTGTGTCATATTAATGTGGACTATTCCTTCAGTGTGAGAAGACAAATAAAATCCCGCCTATGGCAGCACATGTACGCTGACTTCATAAATCTTGGAAGGTATCTCTCATGGGCCTTGCTCACAACATCCTAGCGCTATCCCTTCCTTATTCCTTCCATATCCCTTCGCTCGATAGGACTTCTCTTCCCCCACGGCTATCTGCCCCAAATCAACGCACTTGACTCAATTTTGCTTTGTTGTCCCTAACCTTGACATTCCCTACGCTGCCCCGGCCAACGTCCTCCCTCCATAGCCATATGCCCGTCTGTGTTTCATATCTCACCACCCCCATCCCTTGGTTTTCTTCATCTGCTTCAATTTGTGGTCAGAGTGAGTTGGTCGACACCCTACTGTGAGCAATGACGCGGACACACTCTTTCACGGTGCTCCAAGCTAGCCGCCACTCACCGCCTACGCTGCTCGTGAGCTAGGCCGTATGGTACTACGAGGGATACATGTTGTGTTTTGTCAACTAAGCCACCATGGCAAACAACAACTTGTGTGTGGTGAAGCAGCAACCCTGGAGTGACACCTGGGGTGGGCAGTTCTGAACGGCCGCGGTGCTAAACTAGCAGGTGTCGAAAACAAGGTCAAAAGTTAGGATCGATGTTTCCATTTGAAAGGCTAAACACCAAAGCTATTCTTCATTATAAGACTTGTCCACAATGCATCTATGTTGTATTTGATGTTTCCTCAAAGAAGGGAACACTTCCCCGTTAGTGTCATACATATGGCTTGATGATCACAGGGACTTGCATACCTCCAACACACTAGGTATCAAACCCTAGATTTGATGCCATGTATGCAGATTAATGTGGACTTTTCCTTCTATGAGAGAAGACAAATAATCTTGCCTATGGCAACACATCTGTGTTGACTTCATAAATCTTGGAAGGAAAGGTATGGTGATCGAGCAAACGATCGATCACCACCATGTGCAACATCTCTCTCGTTGTCCTTGCCAACAACATCCTAGCACTCTTCCTTTCGTATCCCTTCCATATGGATTCGCTCAATAGGACATCTCTTTCCTCACAACTTTATCCCCCAAATCAACGTGCATGACACGATATTGATTATGCCCTGTTGTCGCCAACCTCGACCTTCCCTATGCTGCTCCGGCCAATGACTTCTCTATAGTGGTATGCCCATCGGGGTTTCCTATCCCGCGATCAGCATGCCTTAGATTCCTCCGATCTGCTTCATTGGTTGGTCAGGGTGAACTGGTCAGCACCTACTGTGAGCAACGACATAGACACACTCTTAACACTGAGGGGGAGGCTTACCTGTGCTACAGGCTAGCCGCCTCTCGTCACCTGCATTGCGCGTGAGTTGGGCCCTATGGTACTACTAGGGACGCATGCTGGGTGTTGCTAGCTGAGCCACGGGGGAAACAACAACACATGTGTGGTGATCCACCGACCTCAGAGAAACACTCGAGGTGGGCGCTTGTGAGCGGGCGGCAGTGCTGCACTAGCAGGCGTCGCATCGGAGATGGAGGCGATAGGGGAGAGAAGCGATGGCAGTGCTATGAACAGTCCACACCAAAGTTACAACCAACGAAGGGGTATAGTTGGGACTTTAGCCAGAGGGGCACATGGTGCTAGGATTGGCAGCGCCGATGTCCCCGCGAGGCGACGAGTGGTGTGATGCAGGCTACAATCATGGGCGGCGGGAGCTATGGGTGCAGCTAGCAGATGCTATGACGGTCGATCAAAAGGCTATGAAGGGGTGTTGAAACTTCTGGCAGGAAAAGTTGGAACCATGGTGCGTTGGAGAGCTTCAGTAGTGGGGTAGCGAAGCTGCAGACAGCCGACGACACTGCGTCAAGGGAGAGACGCGCGCAAGCACCGCACGCCCGGCGCGGCAAGCTGGGGTAGGTGCTTGGATCCACTGCGCAGCGGGGGTACTAGATGTGAGTGATCGAACGGGTAGGGCGAGATTAGCATCCAAAGAAAGAGCTTTGCTCTTCTAGTGAAGGTACGTGCGACAAAATAAACAAGAGATAGCAGAAAAAAAAACACTGCAGTTGTTCTTTTCTAAAACGAGGCAAAAGATTTGCCATTTTCATTGATTAAGAAAAAGAAAGTTGCTCGGTTAATTAAAGAAAAAGCGGGGAAAAACCTAGATACAAACCCCACAAGGGGCACATGCGGACGACCTGGCCACAACTACGCCAAACAATCGACCAAAGCATCAAGGACATGGCAGCTCCAATTTGGCCAACGAGCTTCACAAGAGAAAGTTGCAAGTCTCACACTGACCTAGTCCAGCACATCACAGCATCCGGAGAGCACCACCCGAAGAAAAACCACCCTCACGGACAGGAGGTCGCCACGCTGCTCTGCAGCCACAGCACCACGCGGACGCATTGCCGTAGGAAGAAACCACCGCTAGCCGGCCAAATCTGACCATGCCGGGCTGGATCCGGCAGCGGCCAACCCTCCCATGGACCACCATCGGCCGGCCGTCACGGAGCCGGAGACCTAGCCGGGGAGCCACCAACGTTGACAACCAGAGCG